CGATCTAAGTAGGGTATGGTTGAGTTTTTGTACTCACTATATAGGCTTCGGGTTTTGCCTGATGAGATACAAGGGAAGAGTTGTGAATGAAGAGGGTGGTGTGAATTAGATAAAATGGATTTTGCCCATTTTTCACATGATTCCATGTACCTGTCAACCAGAATATTAACAAGCTGGTTAAGTGGCATGTTGCTTACCCTGCTGACAACCTTTAACATCCTGTGTAATAAGGTATAGTCTTTCTTCAATAGCCCTGGAAAAACTAAGGGGGAACAATAGAGAATAATAGGCAGAATACGGGAGTTAACGAATCGTAAGAGTAAGGGTTGGGTTATTTCAGAATATCTTAACTTCTTGATGTAGAAGATAAGATGGAATATCTTCGTAGAAATCATCAAGATATGAGACGACAAATGAGGGAAGATCAGCAGATAGAATGACGCCAAGATATTTAATTTTCGACTTGGTTTCAATTTCAGTGTCATCTATGTTGCACACCTCGTGAGTGCTAACCTGATTGTTTAGGTCAGATTTATGCCTAAATGTGAAATTGACTGTTTGACATTTAGAGGGATTTAAGGTTAGGCGGTTTTCCTTGGACCACTGGCTGATTTATGATAAAAAGCCATTTAGTTTAGAGCAGTCACTGTGACATTTGACTAGCAAAGATACAGTCAGGTAGTTAGTATATTTAACAAAATTAATATCATTTGAAGATGGTAAGTCATGTAAAAAGAATGAAAAGAGAAGTGGGGAGAGTACAGCACCTTGGGGGACACCAGATATGGAAGATACAGTATTAATCGCCATCAACAGGAGAAATCTAGAGGAATCATTGTTTCAACTACAGACATCATGAATGAAAACACCAAAGCAAATAAGGATCGGAAAAGCCAGACAGCCATCTAATTACTCTAATATCAATTTGGAGATGTGCTGCACTCAACACAACAAAGAACATCTGAATTTTCAACCCTAATGTCAAGCCATTGATTCTATGTGGATTAGAGAATTTATGCGTGAGCCATGAAAAGCATTTTATTAATAGCTGCTTCCACTGGTTCAATTATGAAGATCATAGCACCGACTGGCTAGAAAGAATAAGCCACAGGGAACTGTTGAAAGTAATGAACCACCCAAGAAGCTATTATTCAAGTACTGGTTTGTAGGGATTTGTTTGATTGGTTACAGGATTTTATCATGAGCTGACATTGGTTAGAGAATCACTGGAAACCACCGGGGAGTACTGGACGACTGTTTCGTCGTATTTTGGGACTCTCCATCAGTACGCGCCCACTACCACGGTTCAAACCCAGGACCTTCTGGTTCGAACTCCAACGGGGTGGGTGCGTACCGATGAAGAGTCCCAAAATACAACGAAACAGTCGTCCAGTACTCCCCGGTGGTTTCCAGTGATTCTCTAACCAAATGTCAGCTCATGAGAAAATCCTGTAACCAATCAAACAAATCCCTACAAACCAATACTTGAATAATAGCTTCTTGGGTGGTTCATTGCTTTCAACAATTCCTTGTGGTTTATTCTTTCTAGCCAGTCGGTGCTATGATCTTAGCCCAACACGCCGTTTCCGCTTAGCAATTCAATATCAGTTTGTTTATTAGATATATCAGACAAACAGTGGAACAGTATTATTTACTGGATGACGTTTCGAACAAAATTTATTGTTCATAATAATTTCATCATCAGTTATAATCACACGACTTTATAGTTTTCTTTGTTCTCTCCTATTTGTCGTTGTAGGGGTAGTAGAATTTTCCAAATGTCTGGGTGGACAGGTATTGAATCATTTCTATTACATATATTTGCAGTTGATTCGATAAACAAAGGCTCCACAGGATTCTTTAACCGATAAAGCTTTTTTCTAATTGAGTTTGTGGGATTCGAAAGTCGGCCACTTTTATTCCTGCCTTGTTAAAAATTCTGCTCAACGTGGTTTCCGACGTTCCTTCCTTGTATGGAATTACTACTGATGATTTAGATTCCTTATTGTTGAAGTTGTCATTATCTTGCGCATATTTGACATGCATGTCGTCATTAATATTAATATTATTATCACTGTCATTACTATCATTATTTATCTTATTTTTACATTTCCTTACATATTTCCTGACTAATTTATCTGGGAAATTATTAAGTTTCAAGGCTTCTTTTATGTGTATCACTTCTTGTCTTAGATTTCCCTTGGTGCTACTTAGTTTCTATGCTCTGTCACTTAAACATTTCACCAATCCTATTTTTACTGATATAGAATGGGATGATCTGAAGTTCAAATATCTGTTTGGATGTGTGGATTTCGTGTAAACGCGCTGGTGTTTAACTTCCCATCTTCCTTCCTTTTTACGTTATGATCTAACATTGGAAGCTCCCCCGATTCCTGACTTTCCAATTCATAAATGAATTGAATTGCCTCCACCTTTGCGTTAATGTGTTCGAAAAATTTATCTATATCTTGTGTTCTAAATATAGTGAATATGTCATCTACATACCTCCACCATACTTTTGGGGTGGGGGTGAACGTTTCAATCGCTATGTTTTTCCACCTATCCATGAATATATCTGCTCAAAACCGGGGATATTGGTTTACGATTAGAGTTTTACTGAAGGGCTTACTTGGCTCATGGTGTCACACAGTGGTCTCCTCAGAGTCTCTCCAGTCTATGCTCACTTTCTTCGACGTATTTGCTGGATAATTGGTTCTTGGTTGGATTGTTATCAGCGTTCTGTGTTAATTATCCTTCTTTCTGGCCAACCATCTGATCTTGAGAACCGCGAGAAAGTAGCTCTATATGAAAGTCTGCAGCTACCAGTTGGTGGCACAGGGGTTAGGACGCTTGCCGACCATGCACATCGTTCAGGATTCGATCCCCTGCCAATGCACACCTGATATCAATTGGTCGGTCTGCAAAATTTAGGCTACCAATGTCACATGCTGAAAATTCCATACTTGTACCAATAATACGGTGTGGAATCAAGCTACAGTCAAGAAAAAAATATCTTAGGCTATGTCGACTTATTCCCTCTGAAACATGCTGGAGCACTGGCTTGATTGATAACCAAGTTTCAAATTTGAATCTTGTTCGTTGTGCTGAATGCAGCCGATTTCTACACTGATTTCAGAGAGTAATGAAGACCGGTATTGCCTTTTCAAACTTGACAACTGGTTTTGACATCCTCGTCAATGCCGTCTGTAGCTGAAATTATACTGACTGAATTAGTAGAGGAGCTGACTTCTATTTAAAGATTTCTTCCAGTGATGATGAATTCCCAGTGAGAACTCTATCTAGATTGATAAAAATTTCATGAAGTTTACTTTGTTAAGTTATTTAACGTTCTTAATTGGTTGCCAATAGCAACAGCAACAACAACAACAGACAACAATCAGCATAAATGAGAGAAATTCGAAAGAAGCAACCTCCTTCACACACCTACCCTATATGGGAAGGTTCGTTTCAACTACAGGCGGATGGAAGTGACGAGGATATCAAATCAAGGATAGGGAAAGCAAGACAAACTTTCATTACTCTCAAGTCTGTGTGGAGGACAACAGCACTTAGCATGCAAAATAAGATTTGGATTTTCAAGTTCAATGTGCTACTTACTAAAACGTACAAATCAGAGACTTGGCGCCGTGTCACGATGGACACTTCGAACAAATTACACATCTTCATCAACAGCTGTCTCCGCTCAATACTCCTCAAGATCAAATGACCTGTCAGAAAAGAACAGAAACAGGGAGGAATCTTTGGCAATGAATGAACCAACCAACCCATCAGGAACCAAAGGTACAACAAATATGCAGGAAGAAATGGAGGTGGATTGGATTAGCGGCAACTCGGTCATCAGTGCGAGGATGACATGGAAGAGGTGTTGCGAAGAGGCGATGTAAGCTTTAGGGCAGACGTAGAGCCTTGTGAAAACGTTGGCGGAGAACCAACCAAACGCAATGCAGACGTACGGCTGAAGCACTATGTTACTTTAGGAACTAAAGGAAACAATAATAATAATATAATAATAAATTGGTTACCAATGGTTTTATGTCACTAAATCAGAGAGGCTAACATTCAAAAGCCTACTCCCTGGATGGTAAACATCTTATCTTCAAGTATTGGTTTTCCAGGGGATTGAATGATTTCAAGTTTGATTATAAAGAGTCACAAACAAGGACGAAACATTGCTGTCCGATACTCCCAGCTGGTTCTCAGTGGTTCACTTACTGCTGTGTCCATTCGTGATCAAACTTAAAACGCCTTATAACCTTAAAACCTCCAGACCTTGACTTGGCTGCTTAGTAGTGGACTAGTGTGCCGTGGTGAGACGAAGTCTCTATGATATGCTTTATGACTTTTAATAGGATTCTAACGGATACTGATTGATTCTTGAGATCTGTACTGAACACACACAGTTGTCATTAAGATGCATCAAGTATGGTTTGAAGAAAATGAAGGCCCTGTTTTATTATTTACCCACAAACCCTGATTACATTTTATTTCGAGAAACAAATAAACAAAATAAAAAATCTGAGCTGTTTTGTATTTTTTAATCTGACTATATTGTGTTTTTTGAGTTGACCTTTTGATGAAGTTTATTAAGGTCTTTATTTCATATTATGTGACCGAGTCTGAATTATTCAATTTACTGTCAGTCATTCTACATGTCTGTCTATCTATCAACCGACAAATATATATCGATCCATTTATCATTCTCTCTCTCTCGCTCTATCTATCTAACTATCTATCTATCTACCGGTCTTTTCGCTCTGCCTCTCTACCCTATACCACTAAACTTCTCTATTTTTGGCTTTTTACTCTATTAGACCGTGTATACACTTCACTAACCAACCAAATTCACTCTAAACTTCGTCCTTCACTAGACTTATCGATTAGTGTGAAGCGAAGTAATTTTAATCAACCAACCAAAGTTTAGCCTTAGAAAAGAAGACTAACTTAACTAAGCGCGCGCGTGCGCACATACACACACACACACACTTATTCTCTTACTAACTAGGCTAAGCTATTTAGCTAACTATCTACCCACCTATCTATCTTTCTACATAGCTAACTAGCTAGCTAGCTATCTGTCTATCTACTAGTTAGAGGTAACTAGCATTTTTGCCTTCTTTCATCCACTTTTTACGACTATTCTCATTTTTCAACTAGTAATCAACTAGACGGATTAAGCGTTGACGCCTTGTGGTGTATTCTTTGACTGATATATACAGCCGAGTTTTTTTTTGAAATAATTATTTGGAGGCTAACCCACAAGAAAAAAATAATCCCGTCTCTAGACAATCACAAGCGGAGGAGAATGTCACAATTCCAGCCTATTTCACTCGGTCAAACAGTACAGATACCATCTCAACAACAACAACAACAACAGCAACAAATTCTACAACAACAAAATCAATGTCAACAGTATCAACTGGAACCGTGTGATATTAAACCACAATTCTCGTTAATACCGAATATATCACCGAATTTAACTAACAACAACAACAACAACAGCGGTAATAACATGAATATATCTCAGAGTGGTATAGGTAACTTTGGTGCCTTAATGACAACATTAGATACTGTAGTCAGTGGAATGAATAACAATAGTAATAATAATAATAACAATAATACAGGCGGTGGACAAGCAGGACAATTTGCTACACCGATGAATCACACAGATGTCGCCTCACTTCTAATGAATCCAAGTAAACGCGCTGAAACATTTGTCATTGATGAAGTCAAAGTTATGTTGAAAGAGATAGAGGCAAGAAAGCATATCCTGTTGTCATTATCACCGTCAACAAATCGTTTAAAACGTCGTGCATGGGAAGATGTAGCTATGTCTATGGCAGTTCGATGGCCTCATTCACCGAGAAGAACCGCCGATCAAGTAAGTCATATTCATGTGGAATTTTTTTAAGTGATTCTTTTAACTGCTAGTTGTGTAAGGTTTAGTGTTAGTTATCCTAGTTTAATAGTGAATACGGAAGAGGTATTTCAGTCGTTTCTTAGGTGTCCTTATCCATGTCTGAGTTTTGATCGGCGATCAGATAGCTCTGAAGGTTACTGAGATGATCTTCGAAACTTCAAAGTTGATAACAAAATGCAACATCATTTAAAGAACTATTGAAAGGCGACAAACAGTTCTGGGCAGCTGTTTCGTCCCAGTTTGGGACTCTTCACCAACGGTACTTACCCGTAATCCCACTGCAGGAGATCGATCTCAGGACTTTCAGATGATGGTTGAATACTCCGTAAGCTCTCTTGGCAAGCTGAAGGTTTTGTGGGTTCGATCCATATATCCTCGTATAAAGACCAAACTTACCAAGGACACCTTTAATGTGGTGACAGATTGTATTTTTTTGCATACATAAAGGTGATTTATACTCACTAATTGATTCGACTTTCAAACACATTCCGTAGATAGGTTTAAAAGACGTGGAAATATTGATTATTTTTATATAGAATTTAATTTGTGGATGGTGACTAGTTGTGGAATCCAGGATAATGCGAATTTCGTCCTATTTGGGACTCGTCTCCCAGCTGGATGTACCTGCATTCCCCAGTGAGTCAGTGAGTGATGATGTTCCCACCGAAGCTCGAACCCAGTGCCCATAGTTTCAGATGCCAAAGCTAGTCACCATCCACAAATTAAATTCTAATTAAATGCCCAGACATCGTTGAAACTCCTGCACAAGAAGCCGACATGTCAACCAAAGACCGAGCACTTCGGTCCAATCAATCGATTGACAGGAAAATCTAAAATTCAATTAAATTGATTAAAAGTTTCTCCCTGTATGTGTAATTTACTTCGTTATTGGAAGAAATGGGTCATCTGTTTTCACTATTATTAGGTCCAGGGGATTCGATTTGTTTATGAAGCCATTACTTTCAATGGGTCAATGAGTCCATCCTATATATGTGTAGCTACATGTAAATGGAAGTTGATAGATAATGTGGGATGGGACATCATTTCCGATCCATTTCAATTTTGGTTTCTGCATAATTTTATTGGGCAATATCTTCTTGATTGGTTTGTTGCCGGTTAGAGTTCCATGTTGTTCAACCTTTCTGACCATCTGATCTCCAGTTGGGAGCCAGCGAAGGTAGCTTTTGATAGAAGTCGTCTGAAGGTTGTTCAAAATGCTAACTTAATAACCTTCATCAAATGAAGAATTAAAGAGGATTTTTGAGGAACTCATACGTTTCAGATCAATTATATTGTTATTATTATTTCCCTTTAATTCCTAGAGGAACATAGGGCTTCAACCGCGCGTCTCCATTGCGTTCGGTTTTCTGCTAAAGTTTTTACCTGGCTCCAAGTCTACCCACATGCTTTGATCTCCTCTTCACATGACCTCCTCCAAGTCACCCTCACACTGACGACCAACTCACCACTTCCCACTTTGTCGGGTTCCACTCGAGCGATGGCTTGTCCAGTGATGTCACTTGATGGTTTCCTCAGAGTATGACTAATCCAATCCACCTCCATTTCTTCCTGCTTATTAGTTGCACAATCGGTTCCTGCTGAGTTGGCTTGCTCCCAGAGATCGCTGTTTCTGATCTTTTCTGGCCAGCCATCTGATCTTGAGTATTGAACGAAGACAGCTGTTGATGAAGGTTTGTAGTTCGTTTGAGATGCTGTTTATGACGCACCAAGTCTCTGATCTGTACGTTTAGTAAGTAGGACTGACTTCCCATTGGAGTTAAAAATCCGGATCTTATTTCGATTTTCATGCTGAATATGGCTGTTGACCTCCACACAGACTTGAGAATAATGAAAGCTTGTCTTGCTTTCCCGATTCTGGCTTTGATATCCTCGTTAGTTCCGTCGGCCTGTAGTTGAAACGATGCTTCCCATGTGGGTACGTAAAGGAGGTTGTTTCTTTCAGGTTCCTCCCATTTATGCTGGCTGATTGTTGTCTGTTGTTGTTTCTGTAGGTGTTGGTCAGGAATCTTCATCACCTCTGTTTTATCTATGTTCATCTGAAGTCCCTCCTATCTTTGATGCTTCTTTATCAACAACTTGTTGCTTTTCACTTGCATATCTTCTAGTTTGTGGGAAATCAGACATATGTATCGCATCGGCGAAGTCCATAGCCTCCAAGTTTTTTGTACGGGTGCATTTTATGCCTGTTTCCCCGCTGTCTGTCGCATTATCCAATCTACTGCAATCAGGAAAATCATTGATGATAGTAGGTAGCCTTTTCTTACTCCCGTCTTCACTTATTCGAAGGATTCCGTGAGTCTCCCGTTTTGGATTACTTGGCATGCAGCATTGTCGTATAACTGTTGGATGATCAATATTACTTTGTAAATTTGTGAGAAGCACTGAAGAAAGAGTTCCACCCAATCTTTTAAGAAACAGCCAGTCACTAGTAACTTATTAAAGTCCCTTTAGGAAGGGGGTTGAGGAGTCTGTTGAAATCGAATGAGTAATTTTTTTTCTTTTGAAACGCCATTCATTTTATCATTATAGCACAACCGTTACCAGGGTATAGTCATGTAGACCTAGAATATGCGAATGATGTAATCGCCTCTCCTAGATGAAAGCGGTGATAAAAATATGTAGAGTATTCTTAACACCTTGAGGAGGAATCTTTGAATATCTGGCATGTGATTCACTCCTGTTGCAACATGTAAGATGATGCTACAGGACTGAACCACATCAGCTCCTAGATAGCTGTCACTCTGTCCCACCCACTCTATTTTGTGATTACATGCAAGTGAATGCATGGCAATGGTGGGCGTTTTTCCTGGGTTAATTAACTTACCAGGGTCAATCATTCTAGGTCTAGCTACTAGTTTGACTTAAGTAATTGACCTCACGAAAAGACATGGTATTTGGTAAATTACACATATATATATTTTTTCGTATTTGGATCTATTGAGTCGTTAAACCGATAAACTTTATCTCTGAATGATTTGGTTGGTTGGTCGGTTGGTGTAAGCGTCACTCTAAATCCGGCCTCATTGAAAATTCTACGTACCTTCTGTGATGTTCCTTCTTTATACGGGAGTGTCACAGAGATTTTGAATTCTGTATTATTTTTGTTATTGTGGGCATTTACAATCCTGATCTTATTTTACCTATGGTTCTTTATACACTACTGAATAAATTCTGGTGGGTAGTGTGTTATTCACTCTTAATATTTTCTTTATTTGCTTGATTTCATCATTTTCATCTTCTGATTTACTAGTTAGGCTTTTGGCGCGATTATATTTTTTAAAACTTCACACCGTATTTATGGTAAAAGTATAGAATTTTCAGCATTCGATATCGGTAGCCCAAATTTTGCAGGTCGACCATTGATATCGAGTGTGCGTGGGCAGGGGATTGAATCCCGGACCATGTGCATGGTCGGCGAGAGTCGTAACCGCTGTGCTACCGACCTACAGACATCTAACTAAATCTACATATTTACTGATTCTGGATGGGATGAATTAAAGTTGAAGTACTTATTGGAGTGTGTGTGTGTGTTGGTTTCTTATTAATGCTAGTATCTCACCCACCATGTTGTTTTCGTTTTATTTTACATTCTAGTATAGCTAACTCACCACGTTCAGTTTTTCTAACTCAAAAGTGAATTGAATCCTCTCAACTACTGAATGTTTACAATTGGTGGATGGTGGCTAGCAGTGGAATCCAGGATAACGCGAATTTCGTCCTATTTGGGACTCGTCTCCCAGCTGGATGTACCTGCATTTCTCAGTGAGTGATGACGTTCCCACCGAAGCTCGAATACAGTACCCATAGTTTCAAACGCCAAAGCGTTATCCACTAGACCACTTGGGCGACGAGAGCCACCTCTTGTGCAACGGGTCATATTAATTATTGAATTGAATTTTTGATTTTCCCGTCGATTGTTTGGACCGAAGTGCTCGGTCTCAGGTTGACATGTCGGCTCGTGGCCCAAGTGGTCTAGTGGATAACGCTTTGGCGTTTGAAACTATGGGTATTGGGTTCGAGCTTCGGTGGGAACGTCATCACTCACTGAGAAACGCAGGTACATCCAGCTGACGAGTCCCAAATAGGACGAAATGCGCGTTATCCTGGATTCCACTGCTAGCCACCATCCACTAATTGTATACTAATTAAATGCCCAGACATCGTCGAAACATCTGCACAAGAAGCCGACATGTCAACCTGAGACCGAGCACTTCGGTCCAAACAATCGACGGGAAAATCAAAAATTCAATTCATTACTGAATGTTTACATGCATGAAGAAATTAGAAGGGATATGTTCCTATTTCAGTACAATGAAATCAATAATTAGTTTGTAAGGATTATATTTGTTTCAGGTTTAACCTCGAATCGATATCAGCTGTTCTGTCCCAGTTTGGGTGTCATCGGCAGTACGTACCCACTACCAGGGTTCAAACCGAGGAGCATTCAGTCAATGGGACCTGATTCCTTAATGGCCAACCCATGAATATCCTAACTTCTGCCAATTCGTGATGCATTTAGCGCTAGCATCATCCAGTGTCATTGGTAGGAACTACATCCTCACTGCCGACTGGACACACCCCATTGGTCACGAAGTCTTACTCACTAGAACTCTAGACAACCTCGTCCTGTAGTCAGTCAGTCAGTCACTAGCGAGCCTCCAATTAATTTTTAAGAATTAATTTGCAAGGATTCTATTTGTTAGTGATCGCGCTGAATGCATCACGAATTGGTAGAAGTTAGAATTCATGGGCTGGCCAGTTCCAGTTGTCACACTCCATGTAGTACACAAAAAGCAAGTGATGATACTCATTCATCCTATCAAGTAATGTAACAACATTAAACCATGAGCATGTTACAATTAAGTTACTAGTTTAGAATTCAGTAGTTTGTAATTCCTAACTTCCTACATAATTTCAATCGCTCACATAGTGATGCATAT